CCTCACCCTCGGCGCCCACGGCCAGGCCCGAGGCACACCGAGATGGAGAGGTCGCCCAGGCGCCGCCCAGTGTCCACGCAGCCGGAAAAGGCGTTCGAGATACGTCGCGCGGCCGACAGGTGAGCATGATTCCAAACAGTATTCGTTCTCCACGCGTGTGCTGGCTGTAAGCATCACGCGCTGGAACAACACGATCAAAAAGGGAGACCCCGTGACACGATCCTTTTTTCGTCTGCCGGCGACGGTGCACTCCTCAGCAGGAACGTTTGCTGGCTGGGCCGAATGGATGAGTGAATCGCAAGGGCCACAGAAGTCACGCTGAAGATGGGAGCCGCGGCGCAATCACAGCTCTGCTGCGCAGCGTCGAATGCATTTTCAAGCGGCAGCCGCCAAATACGTAGGCGGTAAAAGTATACCGAGACTGGAACGCGCAAGGGACAATGAGGTAACTCCCGCCTCCCTGCCCCCACACCTGTCAAGCAGGCAGGCGGCCCACAACCGATCATCGAAACGGAATGCAAACAACAACTTGCCGGAATGATGATACACAAGTTTGCGGTGCCATACTTAGCTGCGCGTGGCCATATCGCGCACGGGTATGACGCATAACTTGCTCACGTATCACGATTTCCCCCAACCAATGATTGTTCGGAAGGTTCCCCGCGAATCTCAAACTACGATCGAAAAGATTCAGCTTGTCGTTTTTTTTCGTCCCCACTACAATGCGTCACTAGCCACGGGGCCTCAACCGCCACCCCCACAGCTCCGAAACCGGGTACTGCGAGGGCTTGGGTTTTGGCCGCACTGTGTCCGTGGGCCACGATCAGATGATGAATGCCGTGCCACCACCCCAGTGGCACAGCGGCCAGAAACGAAGGCCAGCGTTCAGAGACGATCGTTGATAATGTTAGCTCCGACGATCCGTGACTGCCCCTGGACAGGATTGTGCTGCGGCTTCGGTTGCTCCTAAGTTGCCTCAGTCAATCCCCCGCACCGGCTAGCACCATGCCATGCGTTGGCGCCCATTTTGCATGCTCGAGCTGATATACAGAAGCCCTTGCAACCAGGCGACTCGCCCCTTGGTTTGGCGTTCATTTCGCGTGCTCCAGCTAGACCGGAGAACGGGGGTATCTAGCAGGCAGGCGGCCAACAACCGATAGTCGAAAGGAATTCAAACCGCAGTTTGCCCAAGCGATGTTCCAAAATGCGGTGCCGCAGTTAGTGGCGTATGGCCATTCCGCAACATGCCAGCAATTCCTTTGATCTGGTATCGCGTCTCCCTCGAACGTTGCTTGCACTGAGGGGTCTTCCATGGCCTCAGCGAAAATAAAGTAGCATGTACCCGAAGATGTTTTCAACGACGAGCCAAAACTGGTCCCTCGACGTGATTGTGCTCCAGCTTCAGTTGCACCGATTTGCCCCGACCACCACGCCATGCATTGGCACTCATTTCGCCTGCCCCTGCCGATCAAGCCGACCCCCTGCCCAGGTGAACTGCAGCCACCTGCCCTGGTTGGCGCCGACGCCGCTCGCGCCAGCTTGCCCCGAGCCCCCACCGCTCCTATCGTCGACTTGACCCTTCCCTGAAGCGGTCCACTTGCCTCGGCACCGATCTCCTCTGCCTTGCTGATCCTGACTACCTACCAGACCACCCCAACCCAACCCGAAGACCCGAATTTCGGGTTGCGGGGGGTAAGGGTTCCACGCGTGTTTTTTCTATGTTTCCCGACCCCCCCCACTAGAAATCGAGGGTAAATCTGAGCCTTCGGGTTGGGTTGGGGTGGTTTGGTGGGTGGTGAGATCCTGCCTGGCCCCTCGCCCTGGTGGCCGCGGCCGAGGCGGCCCGGCCGGGCCTGGACGCCGAGGCGGCCGCGGGCGGCCCTCCCGCGGGCGGCCCGCGGGGCGGCCACGCGGCGGCGGGGAGGCCCGCCGCGGCGGCGGCGGCGCGCGCCGCTGCCGGCTGGGGCGCGCTGGGGCGGCGGCGCTGGCCCGGCCGCGCCCGCTCTGCTTTGCTGCGGCTCCGGCTGCTGCGTCTCTGCCCCGCTTCCCTCTCCCATCTTTAGGGGGGGAGCAGACCCACCTCGCTCTTGACCACCCTCGCCTCCAAGAGGTACCGAACGATGCCAAGTTGCAGCCTGTGCTGGCCAGGCCGCTTGACAAGGAGGCGCGTAGTAGGGCTTGGTTCTGCCTGGAAGCGAAAGAAGGGTAGGTAATTCAGGCTCTGACATTTGCTCTCTTCCTCCCCCGTTCTAGCCGCAGGGCGATTTCTCCCGGCTGGCAAAGACAAGGGTGGCGAGCCCCGCAGCCCGCCTCCGAACAGCCACCTGCTCGGCGGGGGCCCGCCCGGCCCAGAAGGGTGGGGCCCCCGCCCTCGCCCGGTCGAGCAAGACGGCTGCAGGGAGCACTGCCGCGAGGCCTCGGGGCCCCACCGCCGTGCGGCGACAGGACCGCGCGGCGACCTCGAACTCCCGGGAGGCCTCACCGCGAGGTCCGTCACCGCACGGTCCTGGACCTCGGAGTAGAAGACAAGAAACAAGCACGTCGCCGCCGGAGGGAGCGCGCCAGGGGCGGCGCCGGAGGCGCCGCCGGGGGGGCCCAGGCGGGAATCCAAGAAATCCGCGCGGACCGCCAAATATTTATGTTTTTGTAGTTGTTTCGGCTTCGACTGAAGCCACACTCGTCCGACGGGCCCTCGGAGAACGACGCGCGCTCCAAAACCGTACGGCGACCTCGAATCCATCCGACTCACCGCGCGGTGTGATCACCACACCAGTTGGCTGGGGGACCCTGGCTATCTCTGTGAACAATGCCCTCGACGTGCCAGGAAGGTTCTGGGTGGCGAGCAAATGCATCGACGGGCCTGGCAAGCTTCGATGCGCCGCGGGCCCTGGCTGGCTAACTCGCCCGGGCGTATCAGGCATTCGCTTGTCGGCGAGGTCGTGCGTTTATCGACCCACTTTGATTGGTAGTCATCACTGGCCTCAGGTAGCCGAACCCTTCTCCTCTGCTGGGAACTCGGTTGGTGGCGCGTTGGTGTCGCTGGCCTTGACCGTTTTCCTGTGCGCAGAATCCCTCTCTAGCAATCATATCGTCCGTTGTCTGAGTAGGTGCGCGATAGGTTGCGCCCGGTGCCCCGCGGGTAATCAACAATTCATTGCTTCAGTGTGTGCGCCGTGGGTTGCGACAACAACCCCGCGTGCAATCGAATCGTCTGTTACTAGCAAAACTGCACCATAGGATTCGCCAGGCATTTCGCCATAGACACCCCGCGGGCCACCAAATCCTCTGATTGAGTGCATAAGCGATCGGTTGCGCCAGATCTCGCGCCATATGACATCCCGGTGGCCACCAACATCAACCGTTGCCTCAGCGGGGGTGACGTAGCTTGCGCCATTGGTTGCGCCAAATACCCATTTGCCTCGTAGGGTGTGCCGTAGATTGCGCCGCGGGCCATTCTGGTTCCGGATCTCCTCTTCCTCGTTGTGCTCTACCTGTTCTTCGTGGCCCAATTCTACGTGTTGACTGAGCACCTCTGGCAAGCGCGTGAAGGACGTCGTGGTCTGACCGCGGCTTTTTCTTTTCCGCCTGTCTCCTCTGCCTGGCTCCTTCCGTGCCGCAATTCGTTTCTGGAGCGCCCCTGCCGATGCTTCACCGGCACCTGCCTCGCTGGTGCACGCCGACCAACATAGTGCCACAGGTTGCACCATGGATGGCGCCGTACGCTGCGTCACACACTCCGCGTGCAAACTTATCGTCCTTTGCCCGAGTGGGTGCACCATCTGATGCGATGGAGGTTGCGACATAAATTGAGCGGGCCACGCCGTGGGCCACGGAATCGGCCGAAAGCGGCCGTTGCCTTGATTCGGTGCACCTTCCAATCGTACAGATCCTCGACGATGAGGAGGAGGATAAGGAGGAGGGGGGGGGGGAGGGGGAAGGGGGGGGGGGGGAGGGGGGGGAGGAGGAGCCCAGCGTACCCAGGGGGTTAGGAGGAGAAGGAGGAAGAGGAGGAGGAAGGGAAGAAACATGACAAGCAGCAGGAAGGGGAGGAGGAGGAGGAGGAGGAGGACGAGGAGGAGGAAGAGGGCCGTCGGGCATGATGTGCCCTGCAGCCTTGCAGACCCCCTCGACGACTGCCGCGGACGGTCCTGGCCCAGCAGAGCAACTGCGCCTGCCGCCCAGTGGATGATTAGGGGGGAAACAAACCTACCTCGCTTTTGACCGCCCTCGCTTCCAAGAGATACCAAACGATGCCAAACTACGGCCTGTACTGGTCAGGCCGCTTGACGAGGAGGCGCGTGGTATGACTTGGTTTTGCCTGGAAGCGAAAGCGGGGTAGGTCATTCACGCTCTGGATGATGGCTTGCCCGTCCGCCGGGTCCGCAGACCCCTCCCCCCTCCCCCCGGCAGCTCGCACCAGCCGCTCGCCCTCGGGTGCACCGGGCTTCGCTGCCAGAGGCCACCCTGCGCACACCTCGTGGCCAAGACTCTCTCCTCCTCCTCCTCCTCCTCCTCCTCCTCCTCCTCCTCCTCCTCCTCCTCCTCCTCCTCCTCCTCCTCCTCCTCCTCCCCCTCCTCCTCCTCCTCCTCCTCCTCCTCCTCCCCCTCCCCACCCCGCGTCCCTTCTATACGCAACCGCACTCCCCTCTTCCCAGTTGTCTGGCGTGACCTCTGCCCCAGCGCGGCCCGACGGCTTTCCGAACGCGCTGGCGACCGCCCTCGGTGCTGCCCAACATTTGTCTGTGGAGTCCACAATCGACATCACAGCGTTCGGCGGAACTCGGCCGTCTGCGCACTCGCAGCTTGTGGACAGCGAGCACATGGCGGTCGTTTTCGTGCCAGCGCTCAGGAGGGCTCGTTGCCTGGCCGGGCCGCGCAACGCCTCGCACACATACACATCCACAGCGGCCCAGGTGCTCCGAACGGTCGAAGTGTGAAACCTAAGCAGGCTGGACAAATCGGCAAAGGCTCAGGGAGGCGCAAGCGCATGGCCTCCTGCCTCACCCCGTCCTCGTCTTCCCCTCCTCCGACTGATCCGCCTTCCGATGCACCTCTCCGCGCGCTACCCTACAGTCTCATCCTTCTCTTCCTCCCTTCTTCCACCCTGCCCCATGCTTCCCTTCCTCCCCGCCCTCCTCCCCCCCCCCCTCCCGCTCCCAACACCCCCATCGACCCCCTCATCAAACCCCGCCCCTGGTCGTCCTCCTCCCCCCCCTCCTTCGTCCCCGTTGTCGTCGTCGTCGTCCTCCTCCTCCTCCTCCTCCTCCTCCTCCTCCTCCTCCTCCTCCTCCTCCTCCTCCCAGGTTTTCGCAACTCAGGTCGTGCAAGCACCTCCTCCTCCTCTCCTCCTCCTCCTCCTCCTCCTCCTCCTCCTCCTCCTCCCTCCTCCTCCCACCCCGCCCCTCCTCTCCCGTGCGCACGCCGACAGGGATCAGGCATCCGCGAATCTTGCGCGTGGGCGCCAGATCCACGGATCGGGGAGGGCCCCCCCCCCTCCTCCTCCTCCTCCCTCCTCCTCCTCCTCCTCCTCCTCCTCCTCCTTCTCCTCCTCCTCCTCCTCCTCCTCCTTCGGCGCCGGGAGGCGCCGATGCCGTGCGGAGGCAGGGCCCGCCGCTGCTTCACACGCCTCGACCGTTGCTTGCACTTCCTCGACCCTCCCTCTCTCCTTGAGGAAGAAGAACTATGCACATACACCGATTCTGGCCAGGCCCAGCCTGAGCCCAGGATCGGTGCATACGCCCTCCTACCTTGGCCAGGAAGGCATATGCACCGACCCTGGGTCAAGGACCCAGACACCCGACGTCTCGATTTTTTCGAGACGCGGGCCCCCGACCTCCCGACCACTTCCCTGGGACCGGTTTTTCATCCCGAGTCGTTTTTTGACGGTCCCGACGCCCGGCGAGGGCCCCGAGAGGCTAAAAACTATGAAACGCCTCTGTCTCGATTTTTTCGAGACGCCCGATGTCTGGGGATGGGCCTTGCCAGGATCGGTGCATGTGCATACTCCTCTTCGCCCGATCCTCCTCCGTGTCCTGCGCCTCTGCCGCCCCCTCGTCGTCGCCCTCCCTCTGCGCGCCTGCCGCGCCCGTCGGCGCTCAGTGTTTGCCGTGGCCGTCGGAGCTCTCGAGCAGTGCCTGCAGGCCTCTGGGCACGTGGGTCGGCTTCTCCGACTCCGCCGCCTCCCAAAGGAATCCTCTGGGAGGGTAGCTTCGTCACGCAAGGTTCGTGTCGTGGCGACCCCTGCGCTGGGCTCTCACACCCCGTGGATCGTTCCACCTCGAACGATCGGCGGTTTTTTGGTCGCCGCGTCGCTCCAGATTTGCCGATGCTGGCCCTGGGCCGCTGGCGGCGTTCACTGAGCATCTGCGCTGGGGTCGCCGCCGCGTCGACACGTGGGGCTGCGAAGGCGGCAGGAGGGCGGATGGGAAGGAAGAGGGGGGATGGGACGGAGGGAAAAAGAAGGATGGAGCGGGGGGGGGAAGGACAGCGGAAAAGAGAGAGAGAGCAGGGGAAGAGGAGAGTGTGAGGGGCATGGTGAGGATGGGGGAGGGATGGAAGAAGAAGGGCGTGGAGGAGAGGGGGATGGGAGAGATAAGAGTGGAGCGACAAAAACAGGGGAAGAGAGACGGGAGTCCGACGTGTGCCGGAGCCGGCGCCTGCAACAGAACTCGGTTGTCCCCCTCCCCCCCCCTGCGCCTCAGGGAGCACACAGGGCGGATGAGGAGGCGGGGAGGTGGGCAAGGTGGAAGGCGTGGGGAGGGATGGGGATGAGGAGGGAAATGGGGGGAGGAGGCGAAGGAGGAACGTGCGGTGGAGACGGAGGGCACGTGCTGCCCCATCTGGCAACAAGCCGTGCGGAGAAGATGGGCGCGCGTCAGGAGCGGCCGCGCGTGTCACAGGAGTCCAGGCGCACAGCGTCGTCGACTGCGCTGCCTCATCGCGGCGAGCCGCCGAGGAAAGCACTGCCTACAGATGGTGCTCCGTCGAGGCCAGACATTGGTGACGGCACCACCCTCTGCAGCAACGGCCGCCGAGGCAAAGCATCGCACCGCCAGGCGATAGCGCACGCCAGCGCTCGGGAGCCCCCTGGTGGCGGCTGGACAAGCCGGGACGGGAGAGGGAGGAGGAGGAGGAGGAGGAGGAGGAGGAGGAGGAGGAGGAGGAGGAGGAGGAGGAGGAGGAGGAGGAGGAGGAGGAGGAGGAGGAGGAGGAGGAGGAGGAGGAGGAGGAGGAGGAGGAGGAGGAGGAGGAGGAGAAACACTGGCCGCCATCGGCAACGCCCCCGACGAGTGCGGACAGGCCACCGTGGACCTGCAGGGCGAGCCGTGACTCGGCGGGGGGCCGCCGTGTGCGAGGGCGAAAGACAACTTGTGAAGGGGCCCAGGGACACATAAATAAATACACACAAATAACAAGAGTCCCCATATTTCCCAACATTTTCTGGGTTTCTGTCTTCCCCTCCACTTCCCATAGTTTCGCATCTTTTCCGAGGAATCGACGACTAATTGTGTCTGTGTGTTTCTTTCCCTCCTGAAAATGATGAAGCACCTTGAGACGAACGATGTTGGACAGAGCCCGGGGGGCTTTCCCAGACCCCTGACGTCATGATTGTTCATGACGTCGACCCCAGAGGATTCGACCCATTCCCCAGGACCAGCTTCTCATCCCGAGTCCTTCCTGGACGGTCCCGAAGCCCAGCATGGGGCCCCAAAGGCCAAAAATGAACAACACCTGCCGCGGTGACTGTTTCATGCCTCGAGGGGGTCTGGGCGGGGAACGTCGCCCCTGAACCGGCGATGCATCGCCGAGAATTCGGCACTCCCAGACCACTTTGAATCATGAAGCAATTACGACGAAAAGTCTTTCGGTCCCAGGGAATCGGTCGACACCTCTCGGGGTCGATGTCATGAAGAAATTCAGCGCCCATCAAACGGGGACTCCACCAACGGGCACTCTGCCCAGTGACCCAGCGAACCCAACCCTTCCCGATGTGGGCAACGCTGCATTGCCAGAATAAAACAGGGCTAAGATCGGGAGAAATCGCTCCAGAGCGTTCCGGAGCGCTCTCAGAGCGTTCCGGAACGCTCTGGAACGGCCGCGGCGCCCAATACATCCTCCAAACCCGCCGATTCTCAGAGATTTCGAGTTCTCCCGATCCGATTTTGTCCCGATCTTCGCGTCGTTTTAAAAGTACCCGTTAGTAAGTACCCGTGACGGTGCCGTTGAGAAATCATGGCGTCGGGCGTCTGGGACCGGCCTTCGGTCGATCGAGCGCCGACTCGCACGCTCCTTGGCGGGGAGGCCCATCATGCCCCTATGGGGCGATTGGGGGTCGATGCGTTCCTCCCTGAGCCTGTCCCCCAAATTGTGAAGGGGCCCAAGGACACACAACTAACTGCACGCGCATAAAAATATGCACAACATTTTAATTTTTTTTTGGGGGGGGTTCTGTCTTCCCCACCACTTCCCATATTTTCCCATATTTCCTGGGAGTCGACGATTAATTGTGTCTGTGTGTTTCTTTCCCTCCTGAAATTGGAATGGTAGAAGAACAAGCAACAATACAAAAATAACTGTTTTTTTTGCGCTCCGCGCGGAATCCCACCAGCCCTTTACGGCGCAGGTAGTCTAGAGCGTTTCCTCTGCCAACCCCCTTCTTTCCCTTCGGGGAAGGGTTTATACCCCTCCCCTTCCCCCTCCCCACGGACCTGGACGAGGGGTTCCGCGGGTCGTTGGGACGTCCAAGATGGCCCAAAACGTTTGGCGCTCCGCGCGGAATTCTTGGATCTGCGCTGGGCCCCCATCCCCGGCGCGCTCCGCGCGGAGGCGGAAGCGCTGGAGGCGCTGCCGCGGGGTGCCCAGCGCGGATCAACAAAAATCCGCGCGGACCACCAGAAGTCTATGTTCATGGCTTTTTTTCCTTGCGACATTGGGAATTCGCACCTCGCCGAGCGGAGCTGCAGAGCCAGCGAGCTGCAACGGCCGAGGCGGGGGTTATGCGCCGCCCGCCGACTGAAAGTCGATCCCCCATGCGGTGCCTATGTATGAATACCTGCCTCGGAGATTTGCACCTCGCTGGGACGGGCGCGCGCTGCCACAGAGCCAGCGAGCTTCAGCGTCCGAGGTGGGGATAATGTGCTGACCGCCGGGATCATCCAGGCGGCGTCTATGCGTGGATCCCCGCCTCGAAGATTTGCACCTCGCTGGGATGGGCGCGCGGAGCCGCAGAGCCGGAGCTGCGGCTGTCAAGGTGGGGGTTCTGCGCTCGCCAAGATGTCTGCAAGTCTCCTCTCCAGGCGGTGTAGCTGCGTGAGCCTCCGCCTCGGAGATTAGCACCTCGCAGGCGAGCTGCGGCGGCCGAGGCGGGGATCGCGCGCCGCCCACCGAGATCACTGCAAGTCGATCCTCCAGGCGGCGGTTATGCATGGGCCGCTGCCTCGGCGGTTCGCGCCGCGGAGGCGGCGAGCTGCGGCGGCCGAGGCGGAGGGCGCGCGCCGCCCGCCGAGATCTCTGAAAGTCGATCCTCCGGGCGGCGGTCATGCATAGACTAGCGCCTCGAAGATTCGCGACGAGCTGGGGCGGGGGGCATGCGCCGCCCGCAGAGATCTCTGAACGTCGATCCCCCAGGCGGTGGCCATGTCTAGATTCCCGCCTCGGAGATTCGCACCTTGCTGGGGCGGGCGAGCGGAGCCGCAGAGCCAGCGAGCTGCTGCGGACGAGGTAAGGGTTTGTTAAGCGCCGCCCGCCGAAATCTCTGAACGTCTATGCCCGAAGCGGCGGCAATGAATCAACCCCCGCCTCGGAAAGTCGCACGTCGCCGGGGCGGGCGCGCGGGGCCGTGGAGCCTGCGAGTTGCGGCGGCCGTGGTGGGAATTGAATTTCGCCGGCCGAGGAGTCTGAACGTTGATCCACTGGGCGGTGGGCTCGCATGAAACCCTGCCTCGGAGATTCGCCCCTCGCTGGGGCGGGCGCGAGGGGCCGCGGAGCCAGCGAGCTGCAGCGGCCGCGATGGGAGTTGCGCGCCGCCCGCCAACGTCTCCGAGCGTAGATCCTCCACGCGGTCATTTTGAACTCATGCCGACCTCGGAAATGCGCACCTCGCCGGCGCGGGCGCGCAGAGCCACGGAGCCAGCGAACGCGATGGTTACGCATAAACCACACCCTCGGAGCCTCGCTCGGGCGGGCGCGCGGGGCCGCGGAGCCAGCGAGCTGCCGCGGCCGAGGTGGGGTTCATGCGCCGCCCGCCGGGACCTCTGAAAGTCGATCCTCCAAGCGGCGGTTGCGCATGGCCCCCCGCCTCGGAAATCCGCGCCTCGCTGGGGCGGGCGCGCGGGGCCACGGGGTCCGCGGGCTGCGGCGGCCGAGGCGGGCATGTGGGCAGCTCACCGATATCTCTGATAGTCGGTCCTTCAGGCAAGAGTCACGCGCGAATCCCCGCCTCGGACTGTCGCGCCTCGCCGCCGAGTCAGCGAGCAGCATCGGCCGAGGTGGTGGTTATGCGCCGCCCGCTGAGATCACTGGAAGTCGATCCTCAAGGCGGCGGCCGCGCATGGCTGCCCGCCCCGGAGACTCGCACCTCGCTGGCGCGGGGCCGCGGGGCCGCGAGGCCAGCGAGCTGCAGCGGCCGAGGTGGGGATTTTGCGCCGCCCGTCGAGATCCCTGAGAGTCGACCCTCGAGGCGGCGCTCCTGCATTTAACCCCCGTCTCGGGGGTTCGCGCCGCACCTGGGCGGGCGCGAGGGGCCGCGGGGCCGGATCGCCGCAGTGGCCGAGGCGGGAGTTCCGCGCTTGCCGAGGTCACTGAAAGTCGATGCCCCAGGCGGCGGCAATGCGTGAACCCCCGCCTCTGAGACTCGCGCCTCGCCGGGGCGGGCGCGCGGAACCACGGAATCAGCGAGGCGCCGCGGCCGATGGGGGGGGGCCACGCTCCGCCCGCCGAGATCTCTGAAACTCGATCCTCCAGGCGGCGGCGGCGTGCAAATCCCCGCCTGTGAGAGTCGCGCAGAGCTGGGGCGGGCGCGCGGAGCCGCGGGGCAGGCGAGCCGCGGCGGGCGCGGCGGGGGCCACGCGCCGCCCTCTGGTATCTCGGAAGGTAGATCCCCCAGGCGGTCGTAACTGAAAATCACTGCCTCGGAGACTCGTGCCTCGCTGGGATCGGCGCGCGGGGCCGCGGAGGCGGCGAGCTGCGGCGGTC